TTCAGCAGGGACAAGGCCATTTACTTGGATTTCAAGGGACTGGATAGGGCTCAGGCACCTGGCTGTAACACCTGGAGGATGTATCAGCTACTTCCATCTTCCACAGATCAGTGTGTATTTGGAGAAGCAATGAGGTGACAAACAGATCTATCCCATCTAAGGTACCTTATATCATTAAATGATATAAGGCATTAAATCCACCTCTGAACGAAGATGATTTGCTTGCATTACCTTTGAATATCCCAGTGGCATTTCCAGCATTCAGTATCACCATGACTGTGAAAGTAGCCAGAGACAGAAACATCACAAAAATCTTGAGCTTGTGTATAGCATCCATTTTACCCTGCAACACATTAGAAATATTGTTTGGCTGTCCTAATGTATGCTTGGGTTCATTCCGTATCCCAGAGACTGTTTTAAAAATAACCTTGTAAATTCCCCAGTGTGCTGACTTTTTAGTTCTTATGAAAAAACCACAAATAAAAGGCCTTGCATGGGCTAGGAGTATCTTTGTTTGAACCAGCATTGTCTCGACAGCAGTGTCAGCAGTCCAGAGAATAGCCCAAAAAACAGGGCAAGCAACAGATACTTCCCTAGAATACTCTTCCAGCAGCTCGAGGATTTCCAGTAGTAGCATCTTTAATAGTCTCTCATGGGTTTTTAAGACTGTAAACCCTCCAGATCCATGAAATCATCTGATGATCTGGGGAAAAAGCCTGTCTCATGATGTCTAAGGTTGGCTGTTACCTCCCTCTCCCAGCCCCTAGCACCATAAAGGCTAAAGCCCCCTGTACAAGTTTCAGATGGATAGCAAACACTACAACACACCTGGGAAAGCCACCTGGTTTCTGGACAACCCTGAAGCACAGGAGCTAAGAGGCCTCGCTAAGTTGCGGAATTGAGATGGGAAGCCACGCAGTTCCCAGCGAGCATCCTGCTCTGCCACGACCTGTCTCTTACTGGCACAGGGCAAGAGATAACTCAAATTTGCCTGTGGATGTATTGCAAAGGCTTTAAGGTCTAAACAATTAGCAAGCAAGCGTAAAAGAGGGATTGCAGCTTATTTTACATCACTATTGCTTTTATATTGAAGCAGATAGGCCTATCATTTTGCCCCCTTTAGGAAGGAAATATGAAAATATTAAAATCTGGCTTTGCAGCCAAGTCTCTTTTGGTTCAATATAGCTTTTCACATGTACCTCTAATCCTGTAACTCCTACCAGATAACAACTTCTTTTCATGGTGGTAGTACCTCCTCGTCTACTGGCTGCAAAAAAGATTTAAATGCTTTAGCAGGTTTCAAGAACTTTATAGATTGCGAAGTCAACATACGGCTTTTTTCAAGTTTGTATGTAATGACTTGAGCTCTCCCAAGTGATCCCCGTTAGTCCAGCATTTTTCTATCAAGGAAAAGTTTTGTGCCACCTGTAGAGTAAGCGTACATGCATCCATTCTATAGGCAACAGCTTTATTTCCCCTCACAGCTCAGTACTTGAGCTTCCTTCCCTGTATAATGTCACTTCAATGCCTTCCAGGGTTGGCAGGAATAATAACTGAATTGTTCCAAGCTGCTCGGTGTTGAACTAATAAATTCCAGTTCCCACTTCAGTGGACGGTTTTATAGTTCCGGGCTTTGTTCATGGACTGAGCTACATCCAGATACATCACAAGGAAGTGGGAGAGGAAATGTTTTTAATAGATCCATACAAGCTTTTCCTTTTTCAGTTCCATCTAAACAGAAAACCACCTTTTTTTTTTTTTAAATGAAAATCCTATGTGGAAGAACTCATTTAACTCAAGATATCAGATCCCCCTTAGATTTATGTTGGTCAAATCCCAAAACAATGTATTGTCTTCAATGGATACACTGAATTAGCAAATTCCAAAAAAAAAAAAAAAACAAACCACCCACTTGTACTATTAAAAATATCATTTCTGACTCAGGAAATAACTGACCTGCAGATTTCTGAAAGCCAGGAAAATGTAGGAGTGGAAATATCACTGTATACTTCTCCTACTTGTATATTCTTCCCTTGAACATTGACTTTGGCCACTCCAAACCAGTACATGGGACTAGACGGTCCTTTGATCACACTGTCAGGCCAAATCTATGTTCTCCTGACAGTCCTGTAGTTGAATTCAGCACCACATTTCTTTTTATTAGCATATTTAGAAGAAACTTGATTACACAGCTTCAGAGAAACCCGTACTCGCTTACAGAAGTCTAGGAGGAAAGTCTTATTTTAAAACTGGTCAATAGTTTCACTACTGTCTCTCACCTCCTGCCTCCCTCTAATTTATTGCTGGCAATAAACATCTGCAATATTTCCCTGCCTGCAGTTATCAGCCACAAAAACCCTTTAGAAGAATCAGTTATATTACTCACAAGGATCCGCACAGGCTTTTTGGCAGCGTCTTGCAGCAGTAGTTCAGCTACCACCAGTGCTGGGGAGTCTCCACCACTCAACCTTACCTAAAGAGATTTTATACAACTTTCAGCAGATTAATAATCATGCATTATTTAAAAAAAAATCACAGTAGTTAGACATAGTTTCTGTCTGTGAGCTGCAGCCTCCGATTGGCTAAAACCTCTCAAAAACAAGCACTTATGCAAGAGAAATGTGATTACTTAACAAGGGCCTTTTATAACCAGAGCAATGCACGCTCCCAACTTGCTGGCAGACAAAAAGCTAATGAGTGCATGCTCTCAGGCTCTCGCCCACTTCATCCTTCCCCATCTCTGCCACAAGGAGGGAAACCAAGCACTCCAGCGCAAAAATATTGCGTCTCAATCATAGCCAGGGCAGCGTTCCTGTGCAGGAGAGGGGACACTTGCAAGGGTAGCTGCAGAAACAGCCTGGATTTGGGGACGCTGGAGATGTAACATATAGCAAGGTCTGGATCCTGTGAGCAGCTACAGATCTTTCTGTAGTCCCAGAAGGAGACGAAAGCTGAGGTCCTTTCAGGACTTGGCACTCAGGGAGCATTTTGGTGTTAAGAATTATATAGACATGAGTAACTTCTCTTTCACAGCAAGCACATGTATAGTAATCCTGTATTTTTATACTTCACATCTATTCCTTGCAGTGCAACACATACTCTGTTGAAAATCCCCAAACCCTGCCTCAAAGCTGGGCTTTAAATAATTCCTAGATTTGAAGGACTCTAGAAACCCCAGGGAGAACCTTCCTGATGTCAGAACCAGAAAGGAAGGAAAGATGAGAAGATAACCCCAAACCTTAAGTGCTAAATGGACTTTTCAAAGATTTTTTTTTTTTTTAAGAGATTGGTTTCAAACATATTCCATAGGTAAATTTTTGTTCACATACAGAAAAGGCTCCTGCTCCCACTGCAAGCCAGTAAGCAAGATAATAATAAGCGATAAGCAGAGCAAGCCACACTAGCTGATCAGTCTCTACCTACATCTCTGTCTGCTATAGGACTGCAGTCTCAGCACATCCACTCCTTTCACTTTATATTTCTGCTTGTTTCTCCTGAGATTTAAACTATTGGAGCTAATTGAAAATATGCTTCAACATCAAAATGTTATTTATCTTGTGTAACTACAGTGCCTACCAAGCAGACAGTCTTGCTGGGGACTCCCCCATCTCAAAGAAGGGCACTGAATAAACTAACACCTATCCTCACCCACTAGAAGTAACATCATGGAGCTGGGAATGAACCCTGCTGGGGCTTCCTTGACCTTTGGGTACAAAGCCTACATGAACATGGATTTGCCAGCTGTGGGGAAGGGCAGGGCATGCAGCCAGCACTGTTGTTCCCTACCGTATCAGTGTAGGTCTGAGGTCCACCCTTTGAAGGTATTCTGATGAGGAAACCAGTGGCTTAAGTATGATTATTTCGCATCAGCCAGACAATACGTTATGCTCTACACCCTGATCACAAACAAGAACTGCTCATACATAACCTGTTCCTTGAAGAAAACCAAGGCCTGAGCTCCGTGTGGTGGCATTAGCATCCTTCCCTCTTTTTTCACATCGTGTATCCCCCAGATGTGTACACAGTGACTCTCCCCATGTCCTAGAAACTGCCTTCATCCAAGTTACAAGTTTATAAGCACTGTTACAGCAAGTATGGGCTGAAATACAAGCAGAACTATTACTTACATTATATGGCCCTCTCTTCCTAGATCCTTAAGATCTACAATGCGCTTTTTTCACACTGGATGATGTCTTATTTATGGCCCATTTTATATATATGCATATATACACTATATATATATATAAGTTTTTACTCATCAGATAGTCCAAACAGCCTCAGCACCGTGTCAGACATTACATTTTCATCCAGTGAACAGGTGGTCTGAAATTCTTTACTTAATACAGACAACTTTATGTTACACACGCCTATTAGGCACAGCTGATCAGCTAGGTCCGTGCTGATCTAAATCGAGGGCAAGTTCTGTGTGCAGGAAACATTGGCAAAGTGGGAGAACCAACACACACTTTGCTGTCCCATGTTTTTGCTGGTTATTTCATAATACATCTGTCTTGTTTCAACTGGAGGCAGTGCCACCATAGCAGTGGCCTTGTCCTCTTGCCATGGTAAGCCAGGCAGAAGCTTTAGGCCCACATTCTGGGTTTCAAAAATTATTGTTGCAGAATAGGTTGCAACACAGGCCTTGCATAAAATATTCAAAGTTATTTTATCACATAGCTCTACAGAAATCCCCCAAAGTATGTTTTTAAAGTACAGAAGAATGTACTTAGTGCTTATAAATGTGTTAAAACTGAATGGCTCTTGCTTCACTAGGCTGCACAGCATTGCCAAAAGTGAGAATGCTCAGTACAGCTACAGCTCTAAGATACCAGTGTCAAACTCAAAACAAGTGTTCATGGAAAGGCCCTACCTTTGCAGCATATCTTCACTGAAAGCACTTTTAAACTTACGTCTTCCACATGGGTTTCAGTTGAATATTCTTGCTGGCCTGTTGAGGAAGAAAAATTATATTGTCAGATGAGTGACAAATGCAGTTTTATACATTTCAGCCCAGAATGTCTGTGTATATGAACATTAACAGCCATAAGGGACACATGATACAATCCACATTCACAAAAGGATGTGTCTTGAAATCAAGATACTCGGCAACAATGCTGAATGAAATCACTGGAACCAATTCCACAACACAGCCAGCGTTCAGTACTTTTCAAGACAAGCTGCTTTGAATCAAATGTAAGTTTGTATTCACCTGCGTCGTGATAGAGGAAAACCGTTCCCAGCTAACAGTTATTTTACCATCATGGCAGTTCTCCACTGAAAATCAGAGAGGAATATATACACTCTTCCTGTATTACCAGAAATCTTTAAAGAGGGGGTCTATCTTTAGAGCCCTCATTTGTAGTTTCCCAGGGAAAAAAAATAGGAAAAAAGTTGCTTTTCAAGAAGAGATCTACCATGTCCATCCCTCCCCATGCACTCCCTGTAGCACCATTGTGTGCTCCACCAGCACCAGTGCACCTCAGACACCAGTTCACATGCAATGGCAGGACTGGTTGCAATGGGATCACAGCTCTGCTGTCACTCCCCCGTGCACTAGAAAGCAGTGTAAGCATTTATGAGGTGCTGAGCTAGTGTGAGCAGCCTTTGCACTGGAATTAATGCCCTGCTGACAAGAGCAAGATTGGGTTGTTTTTGTTTTTTTTGTTTTTTTTTTTTTTTTTTTAAAAAAACATGAATCCCTTTCTAGTAGCTGAAATAAGACATTATGAGCACAGGCAGTTTGAGTCCCAGCACAGAACATGGAAGCCAATTGCTTTGTACCTAAAGGTACCACAGTGAAGGCCCTGCCCTCAAAATAAACTCATTTTACACTGAGCAGGAACTAAGACAAGTTCATCTGTGGGCAGCTCGCCCATTTAATGGCACACACTGTCATTAGCAGGAAGCTCCTGAAAGCCAAGCACCAGAAAAACCATTTAACAGGCACTTTTCCTCACCAAGGAAGACTCTAATGTCAGAGGTATCTCTCTTATCTGGAGACCAGCACAAATAGCTGAACAAAGCTATTGTCAGGGTAGTGGTTATATTTGCTTCCAGCCAAGCAACTCAAAATAAGATAACCTACAAAAAGGAGAAGCTCTCAACAAAGGATGCACAGGGAAGAGCTGACCTGAAAAGCAGCTCTGTGTGAGTCGCAAATGCAGATGTGAGAGACGACCGATACAACTCCTTATCCCTGCTGGTGGCTGCATCTGGGAGATGCTGTCAAGTCAGAAACTCTTTCCTCTGACCCACACTGAGCTGCAAGACAGCTGCCACAGCTACACTGAATACCTCCCCAGCAGGGCAGGAGCTCAGCAACTCTGGACCAGACCACCAAAGACTTTTGTCTCCATCAGCAGCAATGACTGGTTTAAATCCAAAATGCATTCTGCACACTCAGCACTCCCATTTAATCTTTACAGCCACTTGCTTTAACTCCAGCCTTTCCTAATGTGTCAGGCAAACTGGCACCCAAGAGTCAGCAACCTCGTTGGAAATCATTTTCAGGCCAAGTTCAGCAAATGTTGACAAACAAATATACTAATCAACAGCTCAAGCATCCTAATCCTGCAGTGGGTTAATCTGGGTGCCTTCAGTGCCAGGGATTAGCATTTTTGCACTGCTAGAAGGGATGAGATTTGACTGGGCGCACTAGGATGGGCACACAGTGAAGAGGATCTGTGTTAGCAATCCGCTTTGGGTATTTTAAGAAGGAAAATCATCTGCTTTTTACTGTTGGAGAACAGAACAGATCCACCCTTTGGCAGCAGGGAAATCTCTGCAGGTTTGAGAGAGCAAGAATAGTAACAGGAATCCACTACGCACTTATTTTCAACCACACTTTAAGGCAGCTGCCATGCTAAAATTCATTGACTGATCTCCACCAAATCTTCTCCTTGAACTCTAGATTAAGGACATTGTTGTAAGCATTTAAGTAACTCAAAATTAATCCCTGCCCCACTCTTGTGACAGAAAGAGTGGGGAAAAAAGACAATGCACTTCTGTCTTTAAGCTAAACTTCATGAGACAAACAACAGAAAATATTTTCCCCAGATGTTCTCACTTACTGGTTAAGCATTGGGAGGTTTGCCTTCTTCAAGGGCAGCCCAAGAGTCTGCAGCAGTGTCTGGCAGGCAGTGACCACAGCGTCAGACCAGGAGCACAGCAACAGGCAGCACTTTCCAGAGCTGCCAGGCAGAGTACATGTATGAGAAACCAGAAACTCACCTGTGCAACACACCCCTTCAAACAGGATGACTGTGAAGAGATGACAAAAACAGCAGAGTTAAGCAGCGATGAAGGAGGACACATTTATATGGCTGAATATCTTCCTTTTGTAAACGTTATTTCATTCAATCACATGGCGCTGCTGCTCACAGGACTCCCCCCATGTCCTCTGCGCCGCTGAAGGAGCGGCACACAGCCAACAGCATCCATTCAGTACTTTGTTTGGCCAGCATCCTTATCGATTTATTGTATCCTTATTGATTTTAAGAATACAGACATATTGGCCTAACGGGTGGCTTTTCTCTGCCCTCACCGCTATCACCCCTGAATGCTTCACAAGCATTTATTTTCCTCCCCACAACTCCATGAGAAAGAGCAAAAGGCACCCAGGAAACAAGGCCCTTGCACTGACAGCAGCACAACAGAGGTCTATAAGCCCTCAGTGGGTATAGATAGCTATTTTGCAGAGCCCACGTGGCCACTCAGCATACCCAGGAACAGAGACAGATAGGAAAGGAGAAAAGGCACCTGGATTGCAGTCAGAACACAAGTTTTTCTGACTTCTGTGAGAGCAGAAAGCTGCCTTCATTTTATAGCTGCAGCATCCAGGTCAGCTCTCATGCAGAAACCCTGCTTTGTAACTTGGGTGGCCTGGTTTTCTTTATAGCATTTTTGTGGCACTTTATACACTTAAATGCAGTAGTGTCACCCATAATTGACAGCATTCAATGCATCTCTCAAGTGGGCAATGTGCATCTCAAGCATTTAGAAAATGAGAAACACAGCAAATATTTTGATTGCCGTAGCTTTCCTACAGGAAGGCAGCACGAAACTTAAACAGACATTTCAATTCATAGCAGTTGAGTGCCTGACTTTGGCACGAATACTCCTTTAACATAGCAATTTTGCAATCTAATTATCTAGATTTTTTTCTTAAAGGCAACTGGAGTATCTATAAAATGCCATCACATGGATATATATCACCTCCTACATGAATCATTAGCAGAAATGGAACATTTAGTTCCATCACTGTGGAAAATTAGTGGAACAAAATTCATTGCAAGACCTTACAGACAGGGAAGGCAGTTTTTATTAAAAAAATTTATTGAAAAGAATCCAATAAGTGGATTCTACCCACTCCCACTCTCCCATCAACATACTCACATGCACAGAGCTGTATACCTCAGTCTGGCCAGGATCACCTGTGTACAGCAGGAAGCACATGGGATAACACCATCACATCCTCACCACATCTCCTGGGCCTCCCTTTATTTTTGGAGGCATCTTTTATGCCCTTTAGCAGTGGATACTAGGACTGATTGTGCGGCTCACTGTCCTGCCTCACCCCTCAAGAGTTTCAGGCAAAATTAAGTCTTTTTTTATCCTTATTGGGTATTTCACAGCTTCAGTAACTGTTGGTCATCATCTTGTCACCTTATCTCTAAGGCTTCAGTTTGTTCTTTGTCCTCTGGTTATTTGCATGAAACAAATGAGGTGGCTCTGCAGCAATTAATACATGCCAGTCCTTTAACTCTTCATCTGTTGCTTTTCTGGTGTCTTCAGCCATGCACTTCCATTCACACCAATATTAGCCTTTCTGTTTAAAAACCTCTACATCAGGCAGGTCTTAACCACATGAGATGCTGGCACAGCTAACACAAGTTGAAAGCTGTTAACTTTCTGTGGACCAGGGCAGGGAACAACCTTGACAGTAAGTTACACAGCTTTTGGCTGGCCATATAGAAATGCAGAGGTTAAATTTCTGTATATTGTGGCAAATTTTAGACAGCAGTCCCTCTAACTGGTTCTCTTCTGTATATGTTACCATACAAGCTTCACTCACCCCCTTTCCCACACCCCTTATCCTTGCTTGTACATCCACTCACCTGTCTCAGTACTCATCATTCCGTACAATTGCCCTGTCCCTTCCTCTTAGGGAAAATACCACTTCCAAAGACTGTTTCTCCCAGCCTCTCCCACAACAAGAACATGAATAAGGATTTTCGCTGACCTATAACTTGACAGAATTATTTGGCTACTTTTCACAAAAGCACACCTTTTGCTCCAGGTTGGTCTTCCAGCCAAATTCCCAGACTGCCTTTCAGAATATGGAAGGGTCAAAATAATTAAACAGCTATCTCAGTCAGAAATTTAAGACAAAACATCAGTTTCCTCCGAAACTTAGTCAAAACCAGCGAGACCTTTTGTACTCTTAAGCCTGAGGCAAGCAAGAAACAATGGAAAACAGCAGCAGCAAGGGAAAGCTGCAGCCAAAGGAGAAATTTTGGTTAAGTCAGAAGTCAAGAAAGGGAGCTCTAGCAGGAAGCATAAGGAAGCCATAACTGCAAACAATTGTTGTCATTTTTACCTACAGTAAATGCATTTATTAATGAAGACATGTGTAGGCACACCCACATATCTGGATCCTCACAGAGCACTTTGCAGCCTTACCCAACATCTTGCTATAGACTGTTTTTTCTCATTCAAGCTGGAGACCAAGTAAGCCTGTGGAAAGCCAGTGAAAACAGGGGCTTTACATCTCAGGGAGTTGAAATGCAACTTCTCACAGAAGCTTTTTTCAATCTACAAAGGTTCCCAGGCCCCACCACACACCACTTGAGACCTGCCTGCTCCTGCAGGTGTAGATGAGGACCTACTCCCAGCACATCTGGTGATTTGGGGTAACCTTCATTTCAGACTTGAGATGCCTTAGAAAAG